TTTCCGTTGGAGCCCGCGCAGGCGCAGACTCTCCACAAGTGTGCATTCGCAGAGACCACGAAGAAAAATGATTTTCATATTTTTGGATTTCTTAGTGTTGCACTAACATTATTTGCATGGTAATGTTGTAGCATTAGAGTTGGATGAGACCCCAATGGCCATCCAGCTAAACCCCCTGCCATGCAGAAAAACACAATCAAAACATTCTCATCAGATGGCCATCCAGCCAATCTGTAAAATAGACAATCCAAAGAAGATAGACTTTCTTCCTTTAGGGCCACATACATTAAAAATGGCACAAAGGATAAAACTGCAAGAGGCCAAAAGTTCACTTCTGATTTTGAAAAAGCAAGGGATGTTTTATGTTAAACTGTGCAATGGAGGCCCTGTGACCGATTTAAAAGCTGGAATGCTGTTCCTAGCTTCCGACAGAGGTAATTCATCTTTTCTTTTCATAGAAAAGGATCAGCCTCCAGGAGAAAAAGAGGTAGGTGACAAACACAAAACTTTGACTTCTACACATAGTCCCAGAGTTATGTTGTAGTGAAATAATAATCAGCATATTTGGCCCTAGGACATTTATATCCATTCAAAGCATTTTTGTGCCATCTGAAACACACATATACACAGAAGCCTTTTCCTAGATAAAGAAAAAATGAATTACACCCTCTAGATCAGGGGTCCTCAGACTTTTTAAACAGAGGGCCAGGTCACAGTCCCTCAAACTGCTGGAGGGCAGGATAATAATTTGGAGAAAAAAAACATGAATGAATTCCTATGCACACTGTGCATATCTTATTTGTAGTGCAAAAAACACTTTAAAACAATACAATAATTAAAATGATGAACAATTTTGACAAATATAAACTTATTAGTATTTCAAGGGGAAGTGTGGGCCTGGTTTTGGCTGATGAGATAGGATTGTTGTTGTTGTTGTTGTGTGCTTTCAAGTCATTTCAGACTTAGGTTGACCCTGAGCGAGAGGGTTGGGTAAATGACCTTGCAGGGTCATATCCAGCCCCCAGGCCTTAGTTTGAGGACCTCTGCTCTAGATGATATCCTCAAGATCAGTCCAAGTTTGTATTTTAGCTGATAATTACAGTTACACGCTATTCTGTGTATAATTCCACTGTGTATTGTGTTATTGATCACTTGCAAGGTATCAGTTGCTTATCTCAATGAAACTGTTTTAACTTTACTGGTGATCTTCTAATTTATTTTGTATTAAGTTGTACAAAAATAATTCGCACCAGTGTTCTATTATGTGTATTTTATATGATCAGATACAGACATTATATACATTGTTCATCTAGGCACTGATTATTTATATTATAAAATTTAATTCAACAAAATGATTTTAAAACATTACTGGGCTGCTGTTAATATTATCCGAACCATATATGGAATAGAGTCTAATCAAATAAGTAGACACTTCCACACTGAAATCAGTATCCAACACAATAGATGTATCTATTTGCATAGCTTACTTTGTGCGTCAATTGAGACAACCAGAAAAAAAGACTTTTCATCTTGCATCTATTTGATCTGTCTATTCATGACTACAGCCTTACTTTTGACTGCTCAGTAGTTTCCAGAAGATGAATTATTTGTCATTTTGCTGGATTCATATATTTGATAGATGCAATCAATAGTGGCTCATTTTTCACCTGGAACAAAGTGTTTCTCTTGAAAAGCACCCTGTATATCTTTTTGACTTGTGCTAAAGGTCCTATATCATGGGACATCAATATTTCATAGCCATTATTAAAGACATTCTTTTTATGTCCTCCAGCTAGAACCAGTTTTCACCTTCACAATGGTAATACGTGGTGGTGGTAAGAATCTCTGATTGATCCTGATGGTTTTTCATTTTAGAAATATATTTATCTCATACTACTTAGAGCATATCTATTGACTTCTCAAAAGAAAAAGTTGAATTTCTGTTGGAATTATGAATTCTGCATTTATGGGATAAAATTTAAATTTGAAAGTAATTTGTAATTAAGAGAGACAGCATGGTTTAGTAGTTTGAGCATTGGGAGACTAAGGTTCAAATCATTGCTCAGTCATGGAAACCCACTGGGTAAGTCACATTCTCTCAGCATCAGAGGAGGACAAAAGTAAGCTCTTCTGAATAAATCTTGCCAAGAAAACTGTAAGAAAGAAATGATTTTAAGGCACAAAATGCACATACACACCTTTTACATTTTTTCCCATTATGCCACAAAAGGGCATTGTGATTCTGAAGTCAGGAGAATCACAATGACACATTATCCCTGATGATATAGCAAAAACTTTGGGACAACATTGTGGATTCAATCAGAAAAAGTAAAAGAGTAAGCTACAAAATACAGAATGTTCTCTCATCCTCAGCATAGGTTCCCTGCTGCTTTTCATTTGAGTTACAATATAGGAAATAGCTGTGAGAGATCTGTCTAGACAGGTGTGTTTTGAAGAAATTGGTGCTTCTTCTGCTCTATACCACTTGCTTGCCGCAAAATATGTTTTGAGCTTAATAATGGTAAGGAGAAAAGAAGAATCTATTCTATCATAATGGTCTATATTTCCTAAAATCTTGGTTATCCGCTATCTATCTGTACAAAGATCATTAAGTACTTCTACAACAGCAAGGCATATTAAACAACATGGAATGGAATTCATCAAAGGATGTAGGCAAGAGTCCTAAAACCACATCTCTCAAAGACCAGATTGAAAAGGGGCGGAGCAAGTGGGCCACACATGAAAAGAACAAAGATATCCAGTGATTTATCATGCTATAATAAATGTGACAAATGGACAAGGAGCATTTAGTCATGCAAAAACAAAGAGCTAGGCAATGCTACTTTTGTTATGTTTGCTGCATTCATGTAATTATGTTCAAATGAATTACATGGTTTGTGCCTAGTTCTTGTCAAATGTTCACCAGGGTACAACATTTTCCAGAAAATTGGATTAACTAAGCAAAAGATAGTGTGAGTGGTCACAGTATTTGTTTGAAACACATAACTAACTATTCATACACATGGACACTAATAACTAACTGGTGCTGGTAGTTATTATCTTAGGAGGAAAATACATATGCCTATGAATGGTGTAGTCTGAAATTTATAAAGTTAAAAAGCAAACCTACTTAACATCTGCTTAAAAGTATATGCAATGGAACTTATTCCTACCGCATATACAGTAATGTAACCTTGGCTATTCAAACATAATATTTGTTTAAACATGTGAAGGCCAAGCCAACAAGCATCATAGAAAAATGTAGCATTCTTACCACATATCAAGGCAGGTGGAATACTCTGTTGAGCCTAAAAGGACATCTGGAGGTCTGTACCACAAGGTAACCACTTCATTAGAATACGTATGACTGGGAACAGATTTGGCTCTTGCAAGTCCTACAGAGTAAATGCAAACACAATCATGGAAAAACCGTTATCAATAAACAGACAAAACTGCAGATATGCTTTAAAAACATTTTGCATATGAGACCGTTTGAAATATTGTTTCTTTTGCCAGTATGGTAAGTTAATCAGTGGAAAAAACGTCAATTTTTATACTTAACAAATCACTACTGAAGGGACAATTTAAAAATATCAAGAGATAACACCAATTATTTGGGTCAACACAGGATTGTCTTCTCTTTTTGTTTAGAATTCAATGCTCCCTGTTTAAAAAGGAAATAAGAAAGTGTGCAAAAAAGAAAAGTAAAACAGAAAAATCCTTAAAAATGTATACAGTGATGAAGAACATGGAAAACTGGAGTAAGAATCCGACTTTGTTGTTGCTGAGATTCAAGAATAGATGCAGGAGCCAAAAAAAAAAAAAGAGGAATTCGGTATTGGTTGTATAGCTGCAGTAGCTGTAATTGATGCACAATATAGGATCTTTGGATCTTAATTAGATCATCTGTACTATGCTGGTGTTTGACTCTAGGCTCTAGAACTCCGCCTACTAGAAAAACTAGAATATCCCCGTTTGTTGTTATTTGTTGACAGACAAAAACATTTCTTTATTCTGACAGTTTTGGAGTATGAAGGGTCTTCAAATAGGTTACAGGCAGTTACAAACAAGACAGATTCTGTAGCTTTGTTCTTAAGTTGAATCTGTATGTAAGTCAGAACAGGTACATTCTTAAGTGTAATTGCAGATAGACAGATAGACAGACAGACAAAAAGACAAGCTTTGGACAGCATAGGGATAGCATAGTGGTATTTGTTTTGCTGTCTGTGTCCCTGTTCAGGAGATTTCACCTCATTTTCTGTTCCTGTGATAATTTGATTTGGGAAAATTTGGCTTGTGGTGGAAAATGATTAGTGATAAAGCTTCAGTGGAAGCCCCTTTGACCCATGATAACTCTTTCAGGAGCGAATTTCTCACTTCCTGTTGTCTTACCCTGGTTCTTAATTAGTCTGAAAGTCGAATGCTTGTAACTTGGATACTGCCTGCATATACTGCTTTTAATTGCTGTTGTTAATTCCATTTTGTAAATGTTATTGATAGCCATGTTAGGTTTTTGCATAATTTAGCTATATTGCTTTAATTTGTAAGTTGTCTGAATTTTGATTTGGGGATTACTTAGAACAAGGGTCCTCAAACTAAGGCCCGGGGCCCCAATACGGCCCTGTAAGGTCATTTTCCCGGCCCTCGCTCAGGGTCAACCTAAGTCTGAAACAACTGGAAAGCACACAACAAGAACAACAATCCTATCTCATCAGCCAAAAGCAGGCCCACACTTCCCATTGAAATACTAATCAATTTATATTTGTTAAAATTGTTCTTCAATTTAATTATTGTATTGTTTTTAAGTGTCTTTTGCACTACAAATAAGATATGTGCAGTGTGCATAGGAATTCATTCATGTTTTTTTCAAATTATAATCTGGCCCTCCAACAGTTTAAGGCACTGTGACCTGGCCCTGTGTTTAAAAAGTTTGAGGATGCCTGACTTAGAATATAAAGATAGTCATAGTCATATGCGACAACTTGTGGCCAAGTAGGATTGTCTTTCAAGGGTAAAGTCTTGGTGGTGGGTCTATAAGTGACCTATTCTGGATCTAAATGAGAAAATAGATTTCCAGGGAAGGCAGTCTCGACAAGGGTTTGCTTGATGCTCCTTCCTCGTGGCACCTTTCTCCCTTTCATTCTCTAGTTGTGCCTCTTCAAAATCCATAGCACTGTCGGCAACAACCAACCTCAAGTTATTATAATAGTGATGATGATGCTATCACAGGGCCCTTCCACACAGCCAAATAACCCAGAATATCAGCAGATAATCCACAATAGCGGCTTTGAACTGGAAGATCTGAGTCCACACTACCATATAATCCAGTTAATGTGGATTTTATACAGCTGTGTGGCAGGATCCACTATTATATTTCAGAAACGACAGGCATATTAGAAACAGCCATCTTACCAGTAGAAATCAAGTTTATGCAACCAGAGTTGGTGGTGAAACTGGAAGTGTCTAAGTAATTTGTGACAGGTACACAGTTAGACGTGGAAATGGTTGTAAAATCCTCCAAGGAGATAGTGTGAGATGCTGGGAGTTTGATATTATGATGTAAGTAACTCTGTTGACATGAATATCTTAAATAGATTTCCTTCTAGAGTATCTTTGACTGCTACTCTGTTCAAAATAGTCATAAAAAGAGGGCCATAGACGGGGGGAGGGTTAAGGGTTCAACCCCCCCCCCCCCAATGTGTCAGGTTAAAAAAACCTGGTATACTCATTAACTTTAACTGGTTAACCAATTCATGAGTAAACCAGGTTTTTTTTCCCTGACACATTGGGAGGAGGGTTGAAGCCTTAAACCCCGCCCCCCTCTGGCTACAGCCCTGCATACAGATAATAGTGATAATGCTTATTTCCTTCAAGCATGTAAATGAAGGGGAATCCTGAGATCTTGACCACTGATCCTGACACTCTACACGGGATTCTGTAATCTACTGACTGAAATGACACAGATGATTTAAAAACACTTGCAACAAAACTGTCAGTATCAATAACCTCAAAGATATTTATATGAGGGTAAGTCTGAGAATCAGATGAACAATGTCAAGAAGGGGCATGCTTAGAGTGTCAGCTTTCTGGAAGCTGAAGACATCTTGTCCCCTGTGACATCAGCGCCCCTCCCCCAGCACCAACAGCCACTCTGGGGCCGGAATAAAGAAGGGGAGCTGGGAGGACGTTGCCATCTTGTACCCTGTGACATCAGCGCCCCTCCCCCAACACCAACGGCCACTCTGGGGCCAGAATAAAGAAGGGGAGCCAGGAGGACGTTGCCATCTTGTCCCCTGTGACATCAGCGCCCCTCCCCCAACACCAACAGCCACTCTGGGGCCAGAATAAAGAAGGGGAGCCAGGAGGACGTTGCCATCTTGTCCCCTGTGACATCAGCGCCCCTCCCCCAACACCAACGGCCACTCTGGGGCCAGAATAAAGAAGGGGAGCCAGGAGGACGTTGCCATCTTGTCCCCTGTGACATCAGCGCCCCTCCCCAGCACCAACAGCCACTCTGGGGCCAGAATAAAGAAGGGGAGCCAGGAGGATGTTGCCATCTTGTCCCCTGTGACATCAGCGCCCCTCCCCCAACACCAACGGCCACTCTGGGGCCAGAATTGTTTTTATACTATGTTTTGAATTTTGTTGTTCCTATGTTGTACACTGCTGTGAGTCGCCCCTGGGCTGAGAACAGCGGTATATAAGCAAAGTAAATAAATAAATAAATAAATAAATTTCCTCAAGGGAACAGGTGCTTCACCTCTGATGGAGAGTAGAACAGCAGTGATGGCTGTGTACATGTAATGGTCCAATTGAGTAATTATACAATTCTCCCTGATACAAAGACCACTACTTCAGTGTTGGAATCTAAAAGACTCTAGAACTGTTTACTTTTTAAGCTGTTATCTGAGAGATTGTCCCTATACAATTTAAATATTTTGTGATTGGGGGACTAGAACATTTTATTTGGAGTGGGGATAGGGTCAGAAAATTTTGAACTTTTTCTGCAGAAAATGTTCCTTTGTAAATCCCCTATACAAAAATTACTTGCAGAAATATTTGAGGGATTTCTAGACTAATCAGTAAATAGCATACATTGTATTAATGCACAACGGCATTTTTGTTGTTGTTGTTGTTCATTCGTTCAGTCGTCTCCGACTCTTCGTGACCTCATGGACCAGCCTACGCCAGAGCTCCCTGTCGGCCGTTACCACACCCAGCTCCCCCAAGGTCAGTCCAGTCTAAAAACCCAAATTGCTGCTGAAATGTTGTATCACTTGGAAAAGTCTTAAAGCACTGCATTCTGTTATGCTGAGTGACCGTATATGACAAAATTTGTAATTAAAAAAAAAAAGAAACCATAGTTTATAGTGGAGAAAAGAACATGCATGAGTTAATGTAAATTAACATCATAGATTAAGGAATGCTTTGGTCCTATAGTAATAAATACAGCTGACATAATTAGAACCACTTCATGCATTTTTTTTAATTACACATACCCAGAAGACATTTTCCCGTTATCCCTAGACAATGAAATGACCTGCCAGAAGAGATCTGACAGCTGGAAATGCTGTCCAAGTTTAAAACAGTACTAAATATTGGTCTCTTCTGGAGGATTAACAAGATGATATTTAAATTATACATTTTAAAGTTTATCTTGATAGCTTTTTTGAATGTATTGATGTAATATGCTTTTTTAACTGTGTTATGTATTTAATTTGTTACTGTTTCCTTCATCGACCCATAGGGAGAAGTGGATAAAAAATAAATATTCTATCCCACCCTTTATCATATGACTCAGGGAGGCATGCAATATAAGTAATTTAAACATTTTCAGATTAAAAACATGAATAATACAAACAAGATAAAACATATAAAACTTATCAACAGTTAAAACCACTTTTAAAACTGTAATTTAAAACCCTATACATATATGCAATAGGATTTTTTTGAAAGTTTTAATAAAATGTTTTAGCTTGTTGTTGTAAAGAAACTAACATTAGTGTCAATCACACTTCTAAGGGAAGAATAATCCACAATCAGGGCCCACCACTGAGAAGGCCCTTTCCCATATTTTATTTATTTATTTATTTTAAATATTTATATCCCGCCCTTTTCCCCACAAGGGGGACCCAGCGCGGCCTCACATGAGCATCAGAGGATGCTAACAGCATAGATACCATAAAAATTACAATTCACAATAAAAATCATTTTAAAACATTGTACATCATCAGTAAAATTTAACAATAAATTAATGGATTAACGTGCCAGTAAAAACCAAGCTGAGCTGGGAGAATCCATGTCACAAAATCCAAATTTCCTTTTCCTATTGTTCTGGCCTCTATCTTCCCTCTTTTATTGCCCCCACTGTTGGGGCACTGAAAAATAATTAGTA